CCTCCTTAACCTTCCACAATATCTACACAAAGTACCCTGAGAAAATGAATAGAGATTTTGAAATATGCTTTGAAGCTTTAAAGAAAATGCCTAAGTGGATTGTTATATTTTTCTAAATTCAGAACTGGAAAATGACTAACCAGCAAAATGAACTCATTGAACCATATGTGAATCTTAAAGCTAAATCATTGTTCAAGTATACAACACTCAGTAACTTCTGAAGTAATGTAAATATTATCAACAATTGTCCATGTTGTGAAGTGTGTGATTCAATGTTTCCCACTAGAATGCCCCTTCCTCAGTAGTAGAAGGACTTGTGATGTAATGGAAATAATAATAATAATAATAAAGGAAAATAAGTTAAGATAACTTAATATAGGTTCATGATAAGGAAAATTAATAAGTAGAGAATGAACGAATAATAAAATAAAGAAATAAATACATCTGTGATCTGGTTTCTTCCTAATGGCTCCTCAACCATTTATTTAAGGCCAGATAAAAATTTTACAGGTTTTGATGTTATGTATGGATCAGTGACAGTTTTGGGTACAGGTTAATTGGTAAAAGTTTTTTTTTTTCTTTTTAATCAGTTATTCTGGTCTCTAATGCAAGTTATTTTTTATTCAGTTTCTGATACAAGTTACTTATTAGAATTTGTATTATTTTTAGTAGGGACCTTTATGAAGTTGGAAGGGTTCTTTTTTGTTTTTGTTTTTTCAGTTTTCAAAATATATTAAAGGTTTTATGTAGTTTTATTGGGATTTTTTATAGTTTTATATTTTGGTATAATATTTGATTTCCTTTGTTGTAGGTATACAAATGGCGATTATCTCCCCTTGGTTGAGATGAATTCACATGGGTCACACAACAGCCACTTAGTGGCATCAGTTCATAGACTGATGAAAGTGGTCAGTCAGTCAGCTTCTAGAAGTCAAACCAAGCAGTTGTTTTTTTAGCATGGGCAAGGCCTTACCTCACCCTAGTAGACTGCAAAAGGTTCAGCTCACAAACCCATAGTGCTGTTTCCTTTAGTAAGTCTTCATAGTGGGGAAAAACATAACTCATCAATTCCTGTTTGAGTAATATGTCTTTGATAATGATATAGAACATAAATCCAGCCCACTTGAATCTCTATTGAGAATCCTAAATATGGTTTATCCAGAAATATAGAAGAATCGTCTGGAAGCTCAAACTCCCATTGGGAATTAACACAAGTGAGACCCTATATATCTCGGCCATTTTTGCACTGCTTGTAGTGGTATAAATGTGTTATACTTTCTCTATGTGAGGCACATGTAAATGTTTGTATCTAATTTTGTGTATGACTTAAGAGTATAAAACTCTCTCTGAGATAATATTTGATAATATTTTGTTTGAGTTTGACTAAGATTATGGCAATTTATGAGTATATGTTCAACTGTGTAATGTACTTGATATCTGTTGCATGATGGTGGAGTTTCATTTTTTAGTAGATGTGAGCGTGTCAGATGTGTACATGAAGGAAGGGAAGAAGAAAGAGAGCAAATGCTAAAGCATAGGAATAAGAATGTTCTAACAATAATTTATGACTTCACTGTCAGCCCAGACAGATATAGAACAAAGATGTTAATTGGTTAGGATAAATCAATTGCCATCCTTCAGAGAGAGCCCACAAAAGTTTGAGATTTACACTAATTGTGAGAAATCATTTGTTCACTCCACCCCCACCCCTTCTGGATGTCACCAAGGAAGAATGCCAGAGAATGAAGTAGATACTAGGATAGGATCTAGCACCCAAAAGATGCAACATTTCATACCATACCACAAACACACAAAAAGTGTAACCGACTCTAGGGACAATCAAGGAACTCACACTCAAAGACAGACTCTGAATGCATGTACAGTAATTATAAGTAGTAATAAATAATTTTATTCTAAACCACTTCTATATGAGTGAGAAGTTATTTCATAGAGAAAAAAAAGGGAAAAATAAATCCACAGCATGCAAGCCTATGAGCTCATATGTAAAGGAAGCAAAATTTATCTCAAAGTATGAATCATTCTCACTCCCTTCATATTCCATTAATAAGAAGTAAGTTTCACTTGGACAGCTTCTTCCCAAGAAGTGCTGCTTTGCAGAACATGCTCCTTGTAGGATGTTTCCCTGATCACTACAATCCTACCCTCTTCAAGAATAGGGTTAACTGTTATCTTTCTTACATAACATTATGAACTGCACTTCTTGCCTTCTCTCATGCTCATACAACAACATGCACTAATTCTCTACTTTGAGTGGCTCTTAGGTCTTGTATTGGATGCACATTAATATAAAAAAGACTTTAAAAAATACCACTAAAGTTCCAAACAATTTGCAGGGATCAACCCCTTTTTTTACTTGTATTTCCAATTTTCTTTATGTTTTAGGCTGGTTTTTGTTATCTAAATTCAATTCTAACAAAGCAAATAAACAAATTGAACATAGAAGAAGTGAACTGAGATTCCAATTTGAACCACTGTTCTGTGACACTAACTACCAAGAGGATGTTTTCTCAATCACTACAATCTTAACCTGTTCAAGTTTAGGGTCGACCATTATCTTTCCTATGTATCCTCATAAACTGTTGCTCTTATTCTGTAACCCTCTACCTCGAGTGGCTCTTGAGCCTTGTACAGGGTGGACATCATTGTAAAAAAAAAAATTTAACCCAAATATCAATGCTCTTCTAAAGGTCATCAAACATTTCTTGCATTAAACAAGGGAGACAATCAACAGAAAAGCAAAAGTTGGTTTATTCAATATGTTATATCTTTATTATTATTTATACCTTTTGGTGTGCAAAAATTATAAATTTAAATTTTGTATATTTCGTTTATATTTGTAATGAAATTATCAAATACATATGTGATTTTTTTCTAGAGATATACTCACGAATGTATTCTGGGGGTTACTACTCCATTTGGTTTTTTTGTTAAAAACGTGTTAGAGGGTGCTCTTTAAGTCTATAAAAAGGCAATTATATTCTTTCTCTTACTCTTTTTAATTCTTGCTTTCAGATGTAGTTGCACTTGGGTAAAGTGTTCCCCACAGGTGCATGTTCATTTTCATGGTCCTCACTTAACTGAACCCTTGCACACATGCACATACACACGTACATATCACACACAAACACATTCTCATAGCTAGTTTCAGTGTCTTTTCTTTTCAATTCTGTTAATTACATACATTGTTGTTTGTTTTAACGTCATTGTTTTGTTCCTCTTATTTTTTTCCTGGACTCACATGAGTATGCCAATATTGTTTGTGGGATAAATGTTCCAGGAGCCCATAAATATTTAATATAAAATATCTATACACATCAAAACCAATAAAATCTTATACCAATAAAAAATAAAATAAAATAAAATAAAACAACTTCTAAGAATCTCTAAAGTTTTTTGTCATTTTCCTCCAAGCCTAACCAAAAGTAAAATAATAACAAAAAAACAAAAAAGGAAAAAATACAAGCAAAAAAAACTTTAAAGACATTGAACAGATTCATAACATTAAATTTGAATCTAATTTGAACTCTAACCTTTTAAAAAAGATCAATTTAGTGATATTTAAAATGATTTTAAATTTTTTAGCAAAATGTAATGCCAAAAATTTTAAAAATATAACCAAAACCTTTAACTTACCTGAATTCTTAAATTAAATATATATTGACTATTTTTTTCTTCATGGTTAAATTAAACTTAAACATTAACAATGACTGAAGCATTTTTCCTTTTTCTTTTCCTTAATTGTTAAATTAATGATTTACCTTGAGATTTCTTTTTGCTTTGTTTTTAATTAATTTAAATAAAAGGTATCTAATTTTAAACTAAAATTATTTAGCTTGTATTTTGCGAGGATGGCAAGTTCATCAGATGCTTTCTTTCTAACTTTGTTATTTTATTGCATTTTTTCCACATTTGTGAAAATTACTTTTCATTTTTAAATAAATTTCTAAAACAATTTATTCATTTATTATTGGTTTATATTGCTTCATCTGTTTAGTTTATTTATTTCTCATGCATTTCATTTAAACTTTGAAGCTCTTAAAATTTTTCTTATCTTTTTTTTTGCGTTCATTAACAGAAAAAAAATAACATGAAATAAAATAAAACTAAAAGGTTAAAAATCAAATCAATCATTTACAAAAAATATTTTATACGACGGGACAAAAATATGATCCGTGATTTTTTTGATTTCTTTTTTTTCAGTCGCGCACGCTTGACTTTTAAAAAGAAAGAAAAGTTGTTATAAAAGTTTTAAAGTTATTGTATTTTTAACATTAGTTTTAACTGTTTTCAATAAATAAATGTATAAGTAAACTTAAACATTATTATTTTTCAACTCCTTTCTGACACAAAATAACATAAAAAAAAATACCATTATTGATCCAGTTGTGAGTTGAGTAATATTTCTTTCTTTCTTCAAACGGCAGTTTCTTTCAAATAGCAGACGACAAGAAAAGCCTCATTCCTTCTGCATAACACTATTTTAAATTTCTTGTTTTTTTAATATTATTTTTCTTCATTAGATTTTATAGAGATTTTTCAAAAATTATTCAAATTTTTTTCAAAAATATATTTATTTCAGTATTAAATGATTGCAAAATTGAAGTCAAGCAGATTTTTTTCTCGTTATTTTTATTTCAATTTTTTAATTATTTTTCTTTTTAGAATATATCACATTTATTTTTTTTGAAGGTCCAAAATATGTTATATACATATTGACCTTTTAGAGGTTAAAGTGCACATTGTGATGACGTAGGCATAAGATGTGTTTATGTTTGATAGAAAATGGCGGAATCCGTTCTGTATTAGATTGTTTCGTATTTTAATAGAAAAAATGTGCTGTTTTGAGAGTGGATAGTTAAACGACTTTACCACTGATTGAATTCTCATTGCATCAATCAATGAGACAGTTGTCCTGCTCACTGTCATATCCCATTTTCACATTATAAAGACACCATTTTACCTTTACAGCAGCAGGAAAAATGTCAGAAACAACCACTTTAAATCCTGAGACTGCAGCTGAGGTAAGTTCAAACGTTGAATGACATTGCTAAATATTGCAAATTAGGGAAAGTAATAATTGTTAAATTACAAAATACCGCTTTTGATTACATTTCTACAATGATTGACATCGGCTCTTATTGGATTACTAACGAAACAAATCTGACTATTTATTTTTCAATGTGACGATGGGGACATTTTTATTTTAAGACTTTTTATTTTCATCTTCCAATAAATGATGTAAGTTGCATAGTCTTTAGTTAAGACCAGTGATTGAGCCAATGTCATCGTTGTTTTGCTTTTTGAATGTCGTTTTATTTGTTTCTATATTACATTTTAAAAATAACAACCAACGGCTTCTCTTCGGTTAGGACGCAAGCGAGTTTATTTCTTTCCTCCTCCTCCTCTTTTTCTTTGCCTGAGACAAGCGCGGTACCGCATCAAAGGGGGGAAAAAAACAACACTTTTTTTGACCCATTTTTTCATACTCTAACAAATACTTTTAGCATTGCTTTAAGATTCATTAGATTTTTGTAAAATAACGACTTTTTTCCCCCATCAGTGACCATTTACTTGTTTCTTTCTATACAACTTCCTTAATCACGTGCCCAAGTATCCTTTTTTTTTTCTCTTTTACAAGCCTCAACTGCTTACTTGTGTATTTTTAGTTTTAGCATGAGTATTTGTAAAGTAGCAATCACGATTAACCAGAACCGATATGTAAACAGTAGTAAAAAGATATTCCGCGAAAGATAACCAAGTACTAGTAGTCAAATTAATACATTTTTTTATGTACCTAGAAAAAAGAAACTTAAATGCTTTTGCCAGCAGTTGCTCAGGTGTCACAAGGAGGAATGCTAGTATTTTTTCTCCATTTCGTTTTTTAATTATAGTGCTAAGTCGGAATTTTTGTAGTCAGTTTGTTAACCTATCATTTTTCCAAAGAAAAATTGCTGTTTTTTATTTTTATTATTAAATCGCCAATACTGTGTAATTATATAGAAAATATACCTGGTTACATACCTACTTTCACTTCTCGAACACTACTAGTACTTTTTAAAAATCAAAATATTGTTAATGTTAATTGATTCGTGTCTATTGTTAGGAAACAAATAAAAAAAAAACAAAAAAAAAATGTAAATATTTTTTATGCATTATTTCTTTTACACAATGCATTTTTAAAAATTTTTTTGGGTTGTTTATTTCAGTGTGTGAGAAAATCCTAAAAACTTGAACATTATGTGATTGTTTAAGGGAAAAAAATTATCACCACGTGTCCGAAGTAAATATTTTAAATTTTTAATAAATTTGTATACAAGTTGAAAGCTAATTGAATAGGCTGATTCGTTCACAAAGCAAATGCATTTCACTTCTCTTTTTAAATTCTTAGAACTTAATATTTCGTTATTTATAATTTTAATTTATTTATCTTTTTTGTAAAGATTTTAAATTAGCTTATTTTATTTTGAATTAAAAAACACTATTACAATACTACTTGCTGCTAGTGTAGCGGCTGTCGTAGAAATTTAATGTATTTTTTAACTTTAAAAAAATGTTGTGTTTTTTTGTTTTTTTTTGTTTTTTTTTTGCTTTTTTTCAATTATTATTACTCAAACAAAGTACATAAAAACTAAATTAATTACGTCACTATGTTGAATTTCTGAATGAATATTTGCCCATACTGTCCAATTTCAACATTTTCTGTAGGAATACAAGAAATTTTAATTCTGTCTTTCTTTACCTTTTTCACGTTTTTTTTTTACATTCCTAACGAACTAAATATTGATGGTCTTTTTGATTCGTGTTGTTCCGGCCGAATCCTTTATTCAATTTTTATACAGGACTAAATGTTTTTATCAATAAAATTAAAATATTGGGAAATGTGAAGTAACTCTTTATTAATAAAAATTGGTTATATTTGCGATGTTTTTCTTTTAGTCTTTTTAAAAGAATATAATTTTGAAGAAAAAAAAATAATGTACTTCATACACTAAGTATTCTTAGATTCTTTTTTTTAATCATAAGATTGAGGACAACATTGGAATAAGTTGTTGTCTTTTTTTTTTTTTTTTTTTTTTAACTGATGTGTATCCACTGTTTTTCTAGTTTTATCATTCACTTCAATTACCTACATCAACTTAAATTCAAATCAAATGTTTTAAAAATAATATTACCTTGGAGTTAAATGCAGTATCACCCTTTCATTTTATTTTATGAATGAGCAATTAATAAATTTGGCCAGATTTTAAAATCTTTTTTTGCTCTTTCTCAGAAAGTTGAACAGGTTTTAGTGGACTCTTTAACAATAAATTAAATTATTTATTACTTGTTATTAGGATTTTGTTTCAACTAATAAAGTAGATTAATGTAGTAAAACAATCATTGTGGTAGTTGGTTTTGTTTTGGTTACCAAGTAAAAAAAAAAAAAAATTGTTTACACACAAAGAAGTTGCTTGTTCAACTTCTTGAATTGTAATTCCACTGTTTATATATATATATATATATATATATATATATATATATATATATATATATATATATATATATGATGGACTACCTCCTGTCAGTTTCGACATATGAGGCTCTGATAACTTAACCAACTGATTCAGTTATGAATTTTTGTGCGATAATCTTAAGTGGCACTTAAGACCTGCAAGTGATTTGCAAATAGGACCACATATTGAGCAAGAGTGCTGATTGTGGGATGAGGTAAGTGTTAGATTGGCTGGCCTCTTGGATCTTGCTCTCACTTCTTGAAGACTATTCAGACTAGCAGATTGAAAACTGCTGAGTCCACTAAAACCTGCTGATTGCCACTCTGCCCATTCCAAGGCTAATCACTTGAGGGTGTTTTGAGGTATATTGACAGCTGACAAGTTACTCTTTAGCTTGTCTTTGTATCTAAGCCATGGGTCTCCTACATTCCTGTAGCCCTGATCTAACTGGCTGTACATTCAGCTCTTGTCATCAAGCATTCTTGAGACATATATATATATATATATATATATATATATATATATATATATATATATATTCTCTTACAAATATGCATTTGTAATTGAATCTTATATCAAATAAGAAAATTCAAAGTATAGGCATTGTTTTCACAAGCAAATTAAAAATATTACATTTATCTATAGCTGCATATGTTATACAGCAAATGACCTAGCTGAGGCTCAGCTCTCAAACAAAAAATGGACAGGATGGCAGGATATTTACGTCTGGAAATAAGCAGATGAAAATATTATCAGGACCTTGATTCTCATGAACAAATACAAATGTATAATTCTAGCATGAGGACTATTCCATCAGTTTTTTTTTTTTTTTTTTTTTTTTTTTCTGCTACCATCTATGTACTGCCATAATTGTATATAAAACCAAAAATATTTGTTATGAAATAGCACTTAGACCTTTGATAATTGTAATTATCAAATTTGGCTTTGCATTTTATGGTCTACTGTATTGGAAAATGTCTTGTCTAACTAGAGATAATTTAATGTGTATACACATACTCACTATTTTGCAAAATGATCTTGATGTGATTTCTTGATTTTTCAGGTAGGCCCTCTCAAGATAAATTGACTTAAATATTTCAAAACAATGTCTATCAAAGAAAATCTAACTAAACAAAATTTACTTCAATGTATAGGAAATAGAGATTGTTATAGTGATATGAAAGAACCTATCATTTTTTTTAATTCAATAACAAAAACCATTTACTAAAAAAAAAAAAAAAAAAAAGAGAAGGTAAAGTAGTTAAAATGAGGAAGCATTTGTATGATTTAATGTGTTATCATATTTACCTTTATAATATACTTTTCTGAGCTAAAAAGTAATTTCTATTGATGAAATTACTTGTATCAGAGGAACACTGGTTTTAATCCGTACCTTCATAACAAAGATTATCAATTCTGTTACCAAATGGCAAATGATGGCTGGATATAAGACATACTTTTCAAATTAAACATATCTCAAAAAACTGATAAGAAATAATTTTTGTTTGAGTATTAAAGTTTTTATCTCTTGACATATTTAAGAACAACTTTTAAAGCAATAAGATTCAAAGAATCTGCAATATCTGGCCTGGTCCTGATCTGGCAGCTCAACTCCAGTTTCTTTCCCACTGCCATAAGGTTGCTTCTCTAATTTATTTTACAACTGAGACATTATTCTAGATGAAGCTGAATCAAGTATGAGACATATATAATCATAAAACCAACATGTTTAACAATGAGCTAGAAAACTTTCAACCTGTTTACAATTCTAACTTGCTGATTAACATGGCTACTCAAAAGCACTATCAGTCATATTGATTATTTATTTTTTTCTTATAAAATTAACAGTAATGTAGTTATTATGACAATTTGCACATATGTTGTAAATTTTGTATTCAAATATGACTTTTATATTGTCTAAAAGTATTTGTGGGTATAAACGCCTATTTTGATAATTAATAGTTCATTGTAATTTAATGCTTCCTTTCAGAGTCTTTGTTTAGACTATACAAAAATAATTGGACTGTACAGAAACACAACTGCCATTAACAGAAAAGGATGGTGAAAATGCAGTGATTTGACTTTGTAGGCTTCTATCAGAACTATTATTTGCTAACATACTATTGTAATTAAAAAAAATCATTAACTATACATTCTTTTGTTTTAGCCAATATTAATTTTTCAAAACTCTCATCGTATCATTTTCATTTACTTTTTACGAATTATGCAGTATATCTCCTATAAATAAATAAAATTTTAACTTGTGTGTGTGTGTACGTGTGTGTGTATATATATATATATATACATACATACATACACTTGACTCTCTCCCGTCAAATTCAGCGTATGAGGGTCAAGCAGATCAGTTCCTAGGAAACCGACAACAGCACATGAGATTTGATTATAGTGGTGAAGGTTTTGTGCAGGATCATCCACCCTTTTTGAAGGGCCGAATACAGAGACCTGGTGCACTACGTGCCACAAGGTCCCCAAACGACCTGCCACAGGTTTTGAATTCAGAGTTGTCC